GTGCTCGTTTGGCCTCCTTGCAAGAACAGACTGTATTTCAATTATCTTAGAGTACAGACAAAGAGGAGAGGAACAAAGCTTTTCACAAAGACTCTCTCCTCACAACTAAACCAGCATACTAAAAATGGATTGTGGATCTCTGAAAATAAATGGCCAGGTTAATGTACAGCTAAGAAATACTTGGGACATTGGTCTGTCCAAGGAACAGCAGATTTCAAACTGGGCTTTGCAAGTGTCTCCTTCCCTTGGGAGGGTAACAGATTGGTAAAAGAGAAGCTAAAAAACCAGAAAATTAAGAACAAGACCAGAAGGAAAGCTAGGATGGAAGTGCAGTGGCAGGAACTCAACAGAGCAAGGGTATGGGGACAAAGTGAGCTGGAGGTGGAGCTTGTTATCTCTATTAGTGTTAACTACTAAGTGAATGTTTGGCCTGAGAGAACCTCACTCTTTTCTTTAAATTAACCTCACTAGAAAGTTATAAAAGACAAAGAGAACTACAGAATATTCTTTCTCTCTTCTCAATAACACTTTCCTCTGCTCCAGCACACTGCTAAAACAAGAACAGTGTCCCAGCAGCACCTCAGATGTTGTCCTTGCTGCTGGCAGGTAACATTACAAACATGCTTTTTTCACTTTTAACCAGCTATTTTGCACTTCTTTACCTCACTTTCTTTATTATAAAAGGCCTATTTAAACTTAACCACACCTTTGTCTTACTGCCAACTTAAAGGTACTGTCTATTGACTTGTCTTCAGCATGATTTCAAAGTGATTTCATTAAATATCCAGGAAAATATTTCTGAAGGTGTCTCTTTCTTCCCTATTTGGATACATAGGACAAGATGACAACTCTAATTTCTTTATAACTTTTACAGAAGTCAGAACCCAACAATAAATGTCACAAGAAAGGACTTCCTGAGATATAGGGAGATTCTTCAGCTATCATGTAACAACTTTCCACTTTCCTATGGAAGCATGAATAATTATTTTTAAAGGGAATAAACACAGTTAAAGATGAACCACACCAAAAGGATTATTTATATATTTAGGCTGGCATTTAATCTCAGAGATTATGGCCATAACTCATCAGGTAACCCCATCCTGTTATCACAACAACTCATCAACTGGTTTTTTGTGTGCTCTCTCCATGCTGGAAAATATACAATTTTCTAGGCTTTGGCTCTCTTGCTAATCTTGCATCTCATTTATTTCACATTTACTCAGTCACTTCAGCAACTGTTCATAGCAAAAAATGGGTGTAACAGTGATCACAGTGATTATTAATGGTTTGGGGTTTTTTAAAGGACAAGCTGATGTCATTTAAGCATTAGGATCACATTAAGTTCACTGGAAATGTTCCATTCTTGACAATTTATGAAAATTTGCTTGAAACAAAGGTGTGCATATACTTGAGTGTGCTGGGGAATGTCCCTACACGAAGCCCTGTCCCATTTCTGCCATGGAACCACCACTCCCCACAAGAGATGTGCTTTCAGAAAGTGCTCAATTGATAAGGATATGGGAAAAAAACCCAGCAAATCCCTTAACTTTTCTGTCAAATTTGACTAAAATCCATTACTGAAAAGTCTGGCCACATGATCTTTCAAACATTTGGACTCATAGAAGATGAACTCATCAGAAACACTTCCCAGGTATTTTGAGCTAAATTGAGGACATAATTAGAAAGTAGGGGGGAAAAAATGAAGAAAAAAGAAAAAAGGGAGGGGGTGCAAAAAACCAAACAACTTTTCTTCCTGTGCTGACAGTGCCATAAAGCCCAGCTACAGATACTGCAACCATTTCAAAGGCAGGAAAGGCTGAGGCCTTCACTGTGCTGTCCACTGGCTTTGAAGTGCCGAAAGCAGCTGCTCCCAGCAGATAGGAACTCTGGTACTGCTGGAGTTATTTTTTTTCTTCAAAATATACTTTCAAATCTAACAGCTGCAAGTAGAACAAAGTTGAGCTAAAGTATATTTAAAGAAGAAGAAAAAAAAGCCACCAGTTTCTCTCTCTGAGAGTGTTCTCAGTGGATACTTCAAAAGCAAGTGGCACCGAATCAGATGAAGCTGGAACCAGAAGGGACACGTGACAGCTGAAACCAAATACTGCAAGATCCAAAAGTTCCTTTTTCCTTTATTACAGGATTTGAGTGCATTTGAAAATCTAATGAAATATTAACTGCTGTGGGTTTTTTCCAAATTATCTTTGAAGCAAAGATAAATAAATATCAATGTATCAGGTTATTTGTTGTAATAAATATCAGATAAATATCAATTTACCAGTATGTCTAATCTGCAGGCAAAGCCATCTTTCAGCCCCACAATGAACAGTCCATGTTCAGACCAATAATTGTTTTGAAATCAGTATTCAAGCAGAGTCCTGTGATATCAACCATTCAGATAAAGCCAAGAAGTGAAACCACTGCTCCAAGTGACTACATTTCCAAAATGTCTCTCAGACTGGAGAACTGGATAACGCATCAATTAATTTGGTTCTTTATTACCAATCTTATTAAAATTATGGGCAACTGAATTGTCCAGGTTGCCATCAGTGCTACCCCTGCCACTCACCATGAAAGCCAACAAAAAATAAATCTGTAGGGCAATTTCCCTTCCCTTTTTATGTCTAAATTTAATTTGACAACTAGATTCAGACACTTGAGGCAGAACATCTCGAAGCAATCACTACTTTCTCAGGTGGCTAAAATATCCAGGTTTTTGTTGGGTGTCTATTTCCAACTGGAAATCTGCTGGAGCCCTGTCAAAATGTATCCCCACTTTGAATTCACTGCTCTATTTAAACACTTTAAATCAGTCTGCTCCTCGCCAAGTAACAACCAAAGAAATATGCAGTAAAACAAGGCAAGGAAAAGTCTGCTTAAAAAATGGCTTAGAAGTTCTGAAGCATAAATAGAGAGCAGTGCAGAGAAACAAAAGTTGGAAGTACTGAAGGGAAATTTTAAGAGTGGAAGAACTGAGCTCATCCTGCTCCGTGGTGGGGCTGGAGGGGCTTTGTGCCTCCCAAAAGAACCTCATTCCCAGTGATAACCCCCTGCAATCTGCAGGAAGAGGCACGTATTCTTCATGCTCTGCAACTTTCAAAGGACATTCCAGATGAAGGACAAAGAGAAATAAATTTTTAAGAAGGGCATAAACAGGATTCCACTGAAAATTCTTCTTAGGCTCTCATTGTTTAGCTGTTTAGGGCTGAAACCCTTGGTTCCAGTGATGTCTCATAAAGCTTAGCTGTTCTTTCTTACAGCAAAAGCAGCTATCCTAAATAAAATAAATTGGAAGCAGTAAACATCTCAGTGAAAAATAGTTTCACTGATGTTTACCACAATATCAACATTGTTACAGAATAGATTCACTAAAACATTTTTAACTTCCATACGAATTTCTTGCTTTGTGGGTTTTTTGACACAGTCTCTGGAAGGTCTGAAATAAGAAGACACATAAAACCAAACCATGACAATATGAGACATTATAATTTGCCTTTAGTGTGCAAAGTCAGCTGAGTATTGCAGAAAATTTTATCTACGGCTTGGTGGATATTACTGTGGACAGCAAAAAAAAAAAAATACCATTTGTAGGTAGAACAGGAATGTTGTAACTCCTGATACACTGCAGGCTAGCATTTATCTCTACAGATTAAAATCTGGCATGGGAAAATGGGAACAAAATCTTTGAATAAATGCTTACTTTGGACTTTAGAGATGCACTACAAATTATGAGAATGGTGAAGAAAACATGTGAGCCAACCATATCACTAAAATGATGTGAAAATATGACTAAATAAAAAATTCCTTTAAGGCAGATGTCCAACTGACCCTGACACTCCCATTGCCCTCCTTTCAGTGAGTCCCTGACACACCAAACTTCCTCACCTTTCCTGCACAAATCCCCAGTATCTCTGACTATTTCTGAATCACTAAATGCAGGAATCACCATAAATAACATCCCCCAGTTAAGCTGAACACCTGTGAGATGTCCCTCACCCTTCCAGAGGCCAATACGTCACCTCTGTCAGGTGGCAGCACAAGTGGTGACGTTGCTTTGATCTGACCCAACAAACTCCCTTCTGTTCCAAGAGCCACACACAAAACACACCATTGTTCCTCCCCAGCACAGAGCAGGGGTCTCTCAACACCTACCAAAGTGATCTTGTTCCTTAATTCCCTGAAAAAGCCCCTTCCAGATGGACCAGAGCAGGCACCAAAGCCAACCGCAGCATTTCATCCTCTCATGGCAGAAGATAAACAGAAATGAAACCACATTTCCCTGCTGGAAATGCAAGCTTAGAGCCACACAAGAACAGTGATAAGAGAGAACTTTCATGGGTTAACCACCTAATTCCTACAAAGTACTAAAAACCCCCTTTCCATCCTTCAGCAGGTGTTACCAACAAAGGCCACTTTAGTTTCATGACCAAGTACCAGCTCACACCCGTGTCTGGTGCAGTCCTTAGCTCCCAAGTCTGTGTCATGCAGTAATTTCTCTCCTTCTGCTTCTCCCCCCTTTACATTTCACAGCAGTACTGAACAAAACTTTCTTGTCTCCACCCAAACGTTTCCTGAGTGTTTCCCAACCCTGAAATTACATTACAAAGAAGAAAATCACGTTCAGTGGGCCAAAACAAGCATTCACACGAACACTCCCCGTGTCAAAAATGATAAAAAGAATAAACCGCTGTTTCTTGACAAGAAGAGAAACAGATAATGCATTAAATAATTGAACCTGGTGATTATGAAAATAGGTGTTGCCACCTGTAAGCCTGGGAAACAATTTGAAAGAGTCGGAGGTACAAAGGATTGTGAAGAGGAAAAAAAAGTATTTTCTGTGTAGGTTCTCCCCACTCCGTCCCCATCACAAAATAATATATATATACATAAATATAATATCTATAAATGGTGTTTTTATAGGAAGCAGAGCAACACACAGTGACCTACAGCTGCAGGAAGGGGTGTTTTCTCCCCTCACCTGGAGGAGCAAAGCAACTGACCTGCTGTTCATATCTTTTCTTGATCTCATCCAACTGCCAGGAGAATTCTTTGGCTTGCTTTTCCCGGAGCAATTTTGATCTGCTTAGATCTGCTTCAACCTCTGCCATCTACATGGGAAAAGAAAGGGAATATTTAATTTTTTTTTTTTTAAAAAGGCATAGCTTGAAATGTTCTGACATTTCTACAGTTGTTTGTAAACCATCAAAGAGGAGAATATCACTTGTTGGGAATGATAACAACACCATTTGTATGTAGTGAAAATGAATATTCAGTTTCTGCAGGATTATTAGTTACTCAAGGACATAGTGATCACTGTGATGCCACTCCCTAATTACAAAAGACTGGCTCCGTTTTTCATCAACAGCGCTGAATATCCCATCAAAATTAAGTGAATATTTTCTCTAGACATATTTAAGACTCAAATATATTTCTCTTAAAAATATACTGCCTGTGGAAATTCAAGGGAAATAATGTGTGAGTCAGAGCATAAACTACACAATTAAAGCAAGTTTACATTAAATCAGAAAATAACTTTAAATAACTTAAAAGAGAATTATTTGGCTGCAAGTGAAGTCCTCTGAAGATAGTCATCACCTATGAATAATGAGTCCCACAGATTCCAGCACGCAGCATCAAGGAAGCAATTTCACAACTCAATTAACAAAGGCTTTTGTATCAAAAGCACAACTGTTAGCTGTACATCAGGCATGTTTCCAAGGGAATATATATAAATATATATATGTAACTCTGCTGCAGTGCACACTCATCAATGACTTTCAGATCTAGATCCCAACAGAAGCAGTGAATAAACTGTGTCCCTAAAAAGGGAAAAGAGGTGGTGGGCTTTGAAGGACCACAAGCCCATCTGCTCCACAAAAAGAAGAAACCCATGAATTTCTGAAGCACAAGCCAAAATCCTGCTTGGCCTAAGGGAGTGCTCAGTGTTCAGCAGATGTCTGTGCCAATTGGCCTGGACATCACTCCCCAGGCAGGAAGGAGGAGAAAAGGCAGCACTCAGAGTGGGAAATCCATTTTATTGCAGAGTACTCCAGCAGGAAAGGAAGGGACTGGAGCAGGAGCAGTTGGCCAAATAGAAAGTGGAAAAAGAGAACAGTGAGGAAGCAGCTCCTGGACCTCACTGCTACTATCTACCATTAAGAAAAGGGACTGCAATCAATGTTTTATGAATCATTTTCTTCCAGCTCCAAACTTACTCAAATTGCATGGCCATGGCCATATTTTACTCAGGTTAATAAAACCCAGAAAAATAATAGATCTTGTTACTGCACTAAATGAGGTTTGTTTTTTTTTTTTTGGTGGTTTTTTTTTTTTTTTTTGAGAGAATGAAAATGTTCTAAAAAGTGAAATAGTAAAAACATATGCAAAGATGCTTTCAATCTACTGGCTTCTGCAGTTTATTTGTTAGGTCACGTTCATCTATTTCCAACAACTGCAACAAAGGCTCTTGATCATTGTTTGCCAAACCCAGGAAGCCCCAGATCTAGAGTCCCATGACATAGCCTATGTATTATTTCTCTTTTTTTTAGTTACTACTGGAAAAAATGTAGATCTTGCAGTTAAACACATGCCACCCACCCACCAGTGGACATCAGGTGACTCTTAATAATCACAAGCTTGACAAAATAGGAAGCAGATGGCAAAATAAATGATATTATCATAGAGCCAAACTAAAGAATCAAATATTGATTGCAACAACTGAAAAGGATCCCATCCTACTCATCTTCATAATTAACCTTATCTCACACCAAAAATGGGTTTAAAGCCCAGTATTCCTAATGCAGATCAAAGGACAGCGTTGCTATGGCTACTGCAGTTGTTTTGTAATAATACCTCCCACCTCACCACAAAACACAGAATTTTCCAGTATGTCCCAATGTGTTGGGGGATTTATCTAAGAGTATGTGGATTCAGAGGAATGAGAAAGGCCAACGCCATGAAGAGAGAGCTTCAGCAGTGTTCCTCTAATGTACTTCCTTGGACCTTGGTTCCTGCAGAATAGAACAACTCAACTGCACAATATCAGTTAGTATTTCTAGATTTTTGCACCCAAGCAGTAAAGAGAAAGAGGTAAACAGTAAAGAAAGAGTAAACCTCTGGCTGATTCGTGAAGTACAGCAAAGCTGATTTTCAAAATTTCCCAGAATGCAGCAATATTCTGAAAGAAATTTACTGTCATTTTAAAATTATGGTTGACTAAGTTTTCCAAATTCTTTTGTACTTTCTTATGTTTTGGATTGGTTTTCTTTGCTGAAGGTTTTTTTTAAGTGAATGAAACTATTCTTAGCCTTTCTAGAATTAGACAACATCCCTTTTAGAGCAGAACTAGGATATTATTTTAAGTCATCATGAAGAAATTGCAGGAGGGTCACACAGTACAGAAAATGTCAGATTAAAATTGTGGGATTTGTTGTATTAACCGTGTGCGTATGGTCTGCTGAACACATCGTGCTTTTCTAAGTTTGTTCTTGCTTTTTTTTTTTTTTTTTTATTTCCAAATTCTATTATTTGCTGTCTGCACAGGTCTTAAAAACATCAACAATGAAGATTTTCAAAAAACTTTGAGAACAACAGAAAGGGAATTTCCTCAGTCCTAAGGCAGCACTCTCAGCCACCCATTCCAGTCCCGGCCTGCAGCACCCTCCTGTCAGCAGTGAGGTTTGGTCAAGGCAGGTGAGGCTGGAACTTGTAATCCAGAATTACAAGCTGCAATTCTGTCTGGAGATCTCAACCACAGGGGGAGTTAGGAAATATCCCTTCTCTCCCCTTTTTTTTGATCACCTTTTGCTTGTTCCCTTTCACTCCTTGGGCTCCTTTTATAAACACCAAGGAGAACAGTTTAACTAGCATTTGTTCCATAAGAAATTTAAGCCACTAAATTCCCTGATTTTCAGGGGCAGAAAAGTGGATTTTTCCATCCTCTGCACATGACTGCCAGCAGCCACCATGGCTCTGCCCCTGTTTGGGCTCAAACTGATTACAGGAGCTCATTAAGGGAAGACAGAGTGGCTGGGAAAAGAGTAGGAAGAGACACATTTAAGTGGGAAATGACAAGCGTTGTTCCATAGGGTGTATAAACTAACCCTTTATACTCTCACTCCTGAAAAATCCCTAATCAGTATCATAACTGCAGATATCTTTATAACAATGACAATTCTGGCTTTGTCAGAAAGATGAAACACCCGCCACCATCCCTTTCTGACTCGCTGCAAAGACACTACATTGTGAAAGATTTTGATGTAGCACTCTCAAGTGGAGCATGTTTCTGGCATTATAAGATCAGAATCCGCTATCCCACTGCGCCAGAGTTTCAGAAAGGCTGGCATTGTGACCTCCTCACCCGCTGTTTCATTTCAGCAGAGTCTTTCTCTGAGTTCAGCTCCACCTGCCGCTTAAACTCCTCCAGGGCAGCGCCTGCCTGCTGGGCCTGCAGCCTCTGTACCTCCGTCACCCGCCTCAGCTGCTCCTCCTTCTCCCTAGAAAGTCACAGAAAATTTTCAGAGTTCAAGTATCAAATAAAAGAACAAGTGTGCTGGTGTAAAAGAGAGGCCTTTAACCCGATCAGTTTAAAATAGTATTCAGATTTCAATTTCCTGTCCCAGCTTCTGCCCAACTTCCCTTTGCAGGGCTTTGAAGAAGGCGATGGAAGGCCCGAGTTATTTTCGCTTTCTCCGATTGAATTTCACACGCCCAAACACGGCATCCACAGCTCACAACAAAACCTCCACCTTCAAAGTCTCTCTTCCTTTCAATGGCTCTCTACCCCCTGCAGAACCCCTTTTATTAATCCCATCTAATTAATAAAATTGAATAATAGTAACAATAAATAAATACTAACAAATTAGATTTCATTAAATAAGATTTAAGATCCCTCAATATTTAAACAAACTCTTTTTAGCATGATTGCTTTTCCAGACTAAAAAAAAGACAAAACAAAAAACCAAGAAAATTATCCCAGGGCCATCTTTGCTCAGACAAGGTACAGGATTATTCCCTGCTTGCCATAAATCAAAATGCAAAGCAGGGCAATGTGTGACACGTGGTTCCTTCTTAATCTATTAGAAAGCCATAATGCTGTGATGTCTATTCAGTCTTTACAGTAATGACAGATGTTAAATCTCTGTGCAAAGATATTTCATATCAACAGCCTACACTATTTGACATATTAAACCTGATACATCTATAGAAATCAGGCTGGGTTTCTTCAGACTGGATGGTACATCAAAAGTAACGTTTCTGTAATACTTTATGTACATTCACATATATGAAAAGATACACATGAAAAGATAGAGACATTCACTGTATTGACACAACAGAGACAAAAGTTCGGGTAACATAAATATTTCAGAAATGTTGATGTGAGTCCTCAAATATTACTAACTTTTATTAACTTGTTACTGGCTTTGTTATTAATTTTTTGTGACATGTTCCTACTCCCACAGGTCAGCAGAGCTGCCTGACTTTGTGTTCAGACACTGGAGAACACGATGGGACATCGAGGGACAAAGCTGGCTCCACCCATGGCTTGTAACAGAAGACACATTCAAACAGACCTGGGGTTGACATTTTCATTTTGCAGGCAGAGGAAGTACCTCACGATAAATTTCCCATTTTGACAGAAATTATTTCCATAAAAACAAAGAATCTGACACGTAGGAGACGGGAAAGCCCAGTTAATTCATCTCGTCTGTCACCTTGCCAGCCCTGGAGGAGCTGCTGCAGCACTGAGTGAGCCTTTCAGAAAGGTCAGGAAGCTGCCAAGCCCAAAGTTACAGTATTCACATCCTCTTCTGTGGTTTGCAGACCAGACTTTGACAATAGGACAAAGAACATAATCCTACATCTTCACAAAGCAGCTCTTTGCAGTGCAGGAGAGCAGGGTAATTCCATTAGCAACAAGATCAAAGAAATGCCACAAGTTCTGAGTCAGTACATTGCTGTTTACTTCTAGAGGTTTTTTTCATGATGCATATTTAAAAAAACAAACCATATTTGGTGCTTCACTCACCACAGCTGATGGAATAACTGAGCATAGGGAGACTGCTCCTCTCCTTACAGAAAAAGGAAAATACCCTTTTTCCCCAGCAGAAATTGGAGAAAAGTGGAACAAAGTCATGTAACACAGTTTTGATGATGAATGTTTTGGGGTTTTGGTTTTGTGTTCTTAGAATACCTGTGCAAATTAGCTTCAAGTTTGCTAGAGAGCATCCATCACCCCTCCAGATATGCTTTACCTGCACAGCCTCATCAATTCAATTTCCCACACGGCTTTGAGGGGGAAGCACATCTGTGTTAATCTAAGCCATCACATTCCCCACTCATTTATGAGACAATAAAAACTATTCAGCAAAAAAAAATCACTACCAAAATCAACATTTCTTCGCCCATCTAAACTAAAGTGGCAAAATTCCATTTAGGATTTAAATTCTTCCTGCAGAGGATCCAACAGATCCAAATCCCAAGTACAAAACTCCTCCTCCACCATTCCTCAGAATGGGCACACCAGTGACACCTCCAGAGCTCAAAGCTTTGGGAACTGTCTGATGGATCAGTTATCCATGTGCTCCTGCTGTTTGGCTCAGTTATCCCCCAAACCCCACATTCCAGGGAGCTGCTGAATACAGATATTTTTATTTTACAGCTGTTTGACACTGAATTATAAAAGCACATCACTCCCCTCTCCCAGCACAAAATCTACCTCAGAAAGAAGAATATGAAAGAGCTCTGCCCATATTTGTTACCTTGGGGAGACCATGGAGAGGGGAAAATGTCCACTTCTCCCAAAGATCCGTAATTCAGCAATGGGCCCTGGATAACAAACCTCTCTCCCTGCAAAACACATCTAATAATTCCACTCCATACTGGAAGTAAAACCAAAAATCAAAGCTTATTCAAACACATCCACGCTGCCAAATATCACAGGACACTGGGACAACAGCTTTGGTCCAGTCAGATGGAAACACAACAAATCTAAACTTAAAAGGACAAGATATCAGGCCTCATGCTCATAGTGAGGCTCCACATTTACGCATCTTCTTTCTCAGGGAGATATTTTTATTTTGAAATATTATGATGTAAAGTTCTAGGAATGTGATTTTATGCACCTTCCTTTCTTTTAAGGACTTAATCCCATGAATAAATGCAACATCTCATTATAAGCAGGAAAAAAACTTCATTTTTAAGGATGTGGGAGCCTGCACTCGCTATTTTTTGTGCAGTTCAGATTTGCACAGAAGCTTAGAAAACCTGTACAACAATGGCCTTCGGTTCACAAATATAAGAAAAGCTTCACTTTTTTTCCCAAGACATCGAGCAATGTGCCTTGCATGAAGCACTAAAATATTCACTTTGAAGATTATTTTTTTCAGTTGGACTAGTTGTGGGGCCCAGTACAATACAATTACATCACTTAAATCCCCTAAAGCTGAGCCGGTCTGAATATAAAAACAGGGTGAATTTACTCTTTGCCCCCAATTTAAAAAGCAGCAAACTCCTTTTGTTTCAGTGTATAAAGGACATAGTAACAGAATGAGGAGTCTTACAGCACAAACCATCTCAGGGAAAGCTGTGAAGACCAGAATTTCAATTTCAGAAATCAACACCCTGAAGTGCACTGATGAGAAATACAAATATCTTATGTGCTTCCTCTTCATGCTTAATCATAAATATTTGTCTTGCTCTATAAAATGTCTTCCAAGAGGTGACAACTAAACACAGTGAGACTTTTCAGCACTGCACTAAGGAAATCCAGGGCAATTCAGGGGTTAACAGGAAAGATTAATTAAGTTTGAGATGTCCCAGCAAATGTTGGATGAATCAACACCTTCCTGGAGGGCTCCCACCATTCCCTGAACAACAGCAAGGGCTCACCAACAGCACAGGAACAGGAGATGCACCTGGCTGGTCTCAGACTCGTCAATAAATTAAAACCCTTCAGACATGAAGTGCCAGCACACACTGAGCACACAGGGACAGAGTTTCGCATCCCAGCAGTAAAACCCACACCCAAGCTCCCTGTGTGTAATTTAGAGAGATTTTCAGTGGAAAATAGTAATAGGCTGTGAAACTCTTCATGATTTCTTATAAACTTATACCAGGCTTTAATTCACAAATAGGCAAATTCTCCCCCAGGTTTTCAAAACCTGCAGGCAGCACAGCCCACTGAATCCCAACTGTACAGGAGAACAGAAGCAGAGCAAGGAATGTATTTTGCCACTGAATAAGCTTCTGAAATTTAAATTCTGATGGACTCCACAAGAGGGAGAGGCTCCATCCCTTGTCTAAGTCTCTCCCAGGTTGTTATGACTCTGGGTTTCTGCCTGGAGATAAACAGGAATCCCAGAATATCTCGAGCTGGAAGGGACCCACACTGAGTCCAACTCCCTGCTTCCCACAGGGCTACTTAAAACAAAATCAAAGGACTGAGAGAAGGCTGAGGTATGGGAAAAGCAGAGTCATGGCTGAGCCTGCAGCCCCACTGCTGCTGCTGAGATCTGCTGGGAAAGGCCAGGCTGTCCTGCCATTCCCACATTACACATACTCTGACTCTATGTACTCAGATTTGCTGTAGTCACACAAGTCTTTGCCCATTCCTCCCTCTCTTTCCTAAATATTACTACTTCTGAGGGAAAAATGCTCTGCTCCCCACCAAACTGCAAACTGTTCACTTCCTGGAAGGCAGCTGAAGAAGGATATTTTTGGTTCTACACAGTCTTCATTTAATGTCACAAGAAATAAAAAATTGACTCTCAATAATATGTGCTGAAAAAAAAATCAATTATCACCATTCGTATAATTAATTGAGATTCAAAAAAAACCCTAAAAAACCCCTATATAAACACATTTCCAAAGTAAAGCACAATTTCTTATATAATACAGAGCAAAGTAGCTGAAAACACAACCTGCATCAAAACATACCCAAATTTCCCATGCAAACCAAAATTCAGGAATTTCACCTTAGTATCTTCAGTGTCTACAGATATGAGGACCCATCCAGTGTACTGACACACACATTTGATTTTACATAGGGAAATTTAAGCAGACCCATGATCCTGCTCCTGTCCCCAGAGAGTCCCTCATGTGGAGATGCACTGCTACTGCCAGGACTCCACCAAATTGCAGCAGTTCCATCAATCAATTAAAATTCTAGCCAAATGCAAGATCCATGCTACCACTTTTTAGTACCACAACCAGTAAAAGCACTCCCTGCCACAGCCCCTCTGACCTAACTTCTAGCATGCAGCTATTCCACTACATAAATAATGTATTGAGACCTAAAATACCATGTAGCTGTAAAAGAAGAGGTTAATGGGTTCATTGTCACAGAAAAATGCTTCAGTAGTAATGCCAAATCTGTGAAATACACAAAAATCAATTTTGTTTTCTCTGCTCTGTTTTTAAACACACAGTGATAGCTCAGCTTTGGGCCTAACTCCATCCCAGCTGTGGCTGGAGCATCCCTGTGCACAGGTTGGGA